AAGAAACTCCAGGGCATTTTGTGCTCGAGGACAAAGTGTGTTGCGCATGTGTGCATGTGTGTGTGCATATGTGTGCGATTCCACTCAGTAAGGCCTGCCAAGCTGCCATGCTAAGCCAGGGTAAAGAGCCTGTGAGCACAGGGAGGTAAAATCTCAGATTGAGGGCTGCTGAGGAGCGAGGCAGTCGCTGTGGGGGTTACGCACACACTCATCTATTCTACACAGACCCGAGCCAACAGCAACTCACTGTATACTCATTTAACAGAGACTCGTGGCTCTCTCTCTCTTTCTTTCACAGCACACCCTCACTGGTCCCTGACTTGTGGAAACAGGAAATAGAAACAGGCACAAAGGCGTCGGTCTCTATATTTTTTTGTGCATTTTGTTTGCAAATCTCACATGACTCACGTGTCTCCACCTCTGGGCTGCCTCTGGGGGAACATACATGTAGATTTTGGCATGGCAATAAGTGCTGCAACATGGCCCAGTCAGTGGGCCAAGTCTTGCTTTGCTTCCTTCCAGATCTGAACTCTGTGTGACTCTGATAACATTGAAACGAGGAACAATTTCATGCTCTCGTATTCTGGGCGCTTTTTATGACTTTAATTGTTCCATTAAGGCGCTTCAGGGTCTGGGAATGCTTTGTCATTTGAGCAATCTGTATGTGTGTGTGTGCAAAGTTAATGCCCTCAGGCTCATCAGCACTCAGGTTTATTCTGCAAAAGGACTTCAAGTTCAGGCTTTTATATTAATGCTCTGGATCTGAACTAAATCCACAGAACTTGAAGATTTTTTTACAAAAAGTTTATCATTTCCTTTTTCTGAGGAAACGTCTCGATATCGGTTCAAAGAACATACTCACACACATATGCACTAACAAAGGAAAGCTCAACATGTGCTTACACCATTTAAGGTAAAGTTCCTTTTGTTGGTCGAGCTGAATATTTAAATTACTCTAACAGTAAATCTTTCTGCAAGCGAAAACTCAAGGCCTCATGGGCTCATGTTGCGAGGTGGAGGGAGATCTCATGTCCAAGGGTGTCTGCATCTATTACTGGGGGTCATGTTCTTAATCAGATGATTGAATAATGAATTACAGCTTGACACAGTGGAGATTTTGTGAAACGTACTGGACATTATTCAATTATTTTAATTATTGGGTTCGAGGGCTGTAAAAGTTATGCGGTGGACCACAACCCTGACTTTTTTTTATTATTAATTATTAAACCGATGGTTTCCTGGATTAGTTTAATAACTTTTTTGGTCAGAGCAAGTGATAAATTGGTTACTTATCCATTTTGTGACATTATATTCTTTGTCTTAACGGTCACTTTTAAGATTTTTGTTGTTGTCTAGTCATCCACAGTGGCCATTATGTATTAAGTGGTTTCCACCAGGAATTAGGTCCACCAGGGTCTTTCTGTGTGGAGTTTGCATGTTCTCCCCGTGTTTGCATGGGTACTCCAGCTTCCTCCCACAGTCCAAAGACAATGCAGTTAGTGGGGTTAGGTTAAGTGGAAACTCTAAATTGCCCATAGGTGTGAATGTGAGTCCGAATAATTGTCTTTCTCTTTGTGTTGGCCCTGTGACAGACTGGCGACCTGTCCATGGTGTACCCTGCCTCTCGCCCTAAGACAGCTGGGATTGGCTCCCACGAACCTGAAGCGAACGGATGTTTGGAAGGCTGGGACCAAAAATGTCTCAGTATTACCATTTAAAACCTCCTGATCATATATCTATTCAAATGTTGAATGTCCAACCTTCTTTTTTTCTAACTGAAATATCATCGGTGTCTTTGAAGTCACTTAAAATTACTGCCTTTCACTGAAAGTGCCAAATTTCTTTTTATACCAGAGTAAAAATATGCTTTTATCCTGCTCAAGAGTCCAAGAGTAGAGGGTTATCTATAGACAAACATTTCCTTTGTTCAAATTATCAACACCAGTCTGATAAATTGACTGTCTTGTACAGTTACACTCCGCAGCTTTGCAAGCTATGGGCCAGAGGTCAAATGGTGACCTCGCAAGTTTGACAACATGTGACCCTCACCAGGCCTCACAAGTCTGAAAGAATGGCATCACACACTAGGTCATTGTTGTTTTTGGTGAGTTGTTCTGGGTGAGGTCCGTGTGACTCAGAGAGAATCCACATGGGCATGAGCGAAGCAGGAAAACCGCATTTCTTGGTTGTAAAATTATTTAATTTCACCCTTGTGACAGCATTCATATTAAAAGATGATATCTGATTATTTTTTTTGTTTGTTTGGACAGAGATGCATTCAGTCCCTGCCTGTTTACTGACTGTATCAAATGACGCAGATATCATTATTACATTTACCTTCTGCATAAAGTGTTCAGGAAAACACGGGGACAATATTTCAAGTGTGTTCATTTCCTGTTCTTTACCAAGAATTGTGGGAAGTTAAATGGCATGTAGGTTCTGTGATAACATCCAAAAGAGTTACCGAACAAAAGGCTTCGAGTGTTGCTGTTCTTTAGATATCCTATCAGTGTTTGTCGCTTTTCTCTCGGTTATTGGCAGAGCAGTTTATTTACCCATCAACCGCCAGTTGTTCCTCAGTCTCAGCCTGGCAAACAGTGCTGAAGGTGATTAGTGTGGGAGAGACCCTCCAAGTCTCTCTGAGAGGGCAGCACAGCCCCAAACAGTCCACTGCATACTTTGAGCATACAGTCATTTTCTTTTTACTACACCGAAATCTACAAGTGACAGGGTGCTGAAATCTGAGGGAGCAGCGCTGCAGTTGTTGTTATAGGCTGTTTATTACCAGCTATTTTCACTGATTTTTCAGACACATCTGTGTGAATATCATTAAAACAGACACTGAAATGCAAAAAGGTTTCACTCTTTGTATTTAGCTCTTGTGAATTTGCTTTATATTGCATATAAGATTAAATGGAGATACAGTTTTAGAAAACTATCCAGATCTATTTGACCAATCAGGGGAAAATGTGCTGGCATAGTATAGGATGAAGAGCTCTTGTAAAGACTGATAGCGCCACCTTGTGGTGTGAAATATCCAGTGAAACATGGATGCAGTGAAACATCCTTTTGTTTTCTTTCAGTAAAGAAGAAATAATTAGATATTATATGCAAAATTTTAAATAAAATGAAAAATCATAATGACTTTTAAGAAACACACATTGTGTAAAAATGTTGATTTCTTTATATTTTCCAAGTGGAAAGTAAGTTAATGGATTTATTGAAAGATCTGCAACTATACATGGAAATATAGTACATAACAGAGGTGTGGACTCGAGTCACATGACTTGGACTCGAGTCAGACTCGAGTCATTAATTTTATGACTTTAGACTTGACTTGAAAAAATGTTCTAAGACTTGTGACTTGACTTGGACTTTTATACCAATGACTTGGGACTTGAATTGGACTTGAACCGGTTTACTTGAAAAGACTTGATATTTTACCCCAAATATAAAATTTAACATGCATATTATATAGAGATTGAAAATGTGACGTCATTCACGGGTAGAACCGCAAAGGATTCTGGGAACTCGTGGCAAGCGGTACTAGCGCACGCAGGCTTTCAATTAAAATCAGTTATACAGCGATAAAAAGAAACACAAAAATGTCAAGAAGCTGTTGTATTATTAACTGCAATAGCCGGTCGCATGACAGCCACGGGAAGCCGACGGGTAAAGAGATCGGTTGTTATCGGATTACGTCGTTGAAGAGAAATTGTTCATGTTTCCGAAGTAACAAAGAGGCGACGGATGGCCTGGATTGCAGCCATTCAAAGATCAAATATAACGTCCCAGAACACTCCAGCTCACAGGTTAGTCTGCTCCAAGCATTTACACGAAGGTCAGTATTTTTTAATAGTTAATACGTCATTTTCATAACATAATTGGTGATATAGGTTACAAGCAAGTCTGTCGCTGAACAGAAATTGTCGCGCTATGCTCCTTTATTTATTGTGCATAAATAGTGAATTGTCCTGACACAATATTGCGTTTCGCTTCTGTTATTATGGTACATTGACAAAAACATATACTTTTATTCACAGGATAAAACAGGTTTTTTGTATCACTAATTGCCCAGTACGATTACAGCATACAATATTGTTGTCACTGCTACATTTCTGTGATGCTACCAGAAATTATTTCCACTACTAATTAATTACCGTTGAGCTCAAAGGTCCTATTAATAAACGGTTAACGAATGTGTATTTATGAAGACTATTTGTGAGACTGGTAAACTTATGATACGTACAATGGTCTTTCGTTCTACACGGTGCATTTCAAGGTCCTGTACCCATCCGTCGGTAAACTGTACCTGGGCTTGTTGCAGTGACCTGAAGTTACTAAACTTCATGAGTGTATGCACTCACAAGAACCGTATGATTATAAATATGCATATAAATATGCTACGATGAGATAGCTGACTTCATCTAACTAGCAAATGTTGTCCAGGCTACGTTGGTGATACAGTTTTTTTTAATGTGTATGATATTTTTGTCATGCGATTTTAAAGCTGGTCCTACAACCGCATCCAAGAATAACATGCAGCTTATCTCAGAACTATCAGTGAAAATTATTCTTGGAGCTAGGTTTAATTGAGCTGCATTTTAAAGAGGTGCAATTTCACAATTTGTGTATATTTTCTAAGTTCACTATTTTGTCATGTGTTGAGAAAAACACAGATTTTAAAATTACATGGTCTAATATTTACATTTAGCATAACTGCAACATTATTTTTTCATTTTTGTTTTTTTTTTAAAGACTCGAAAGGACTTGAAATTCAAAGTTTAAGACTTGTGACTTGACTCGGACTTTTACACCAGTGACTTGAGACTCGACTCTGACTTGCCTTACATTACTTGAGACTTGACTTGAGACTTGAGGATAAAGACTTGAGACTTGACTTGAGACTTGAGGATAAAGACTTGAGACTTACTTGAGACTTGCAAAACAATGATTTGGTCCCACCTCTGGTACATAAGGTAAAAACTTAGACAGCCGTTTTGTCGTTTCTTTAACCAGTCTTCAGGAATAGTTCTCCAGGCTTCTAGAAAGGCCTTCAAAGCTCTTCTCTGAATATGTAATAATGTGTTAAATAAATACGCTACAGTGTTTTTGATAATGCGATTAATGGTTTGATATTCACACCTTTTGACTAGGATCTGATGTTCTGGGGTTTTCTTTAAAGTTGGGCTCAATTCTGTCCACTTTAGTCCAAATCATTTGAGGCCACTTATTTGAAATGCAAGGGAATTTTTTTTCTCCATGTTTCTTTTTTATCTATCACAATCAAAAAGCTGGTAGTGTTTAAATTTAGTAAACTAATGAAACAGAGTAAAACTCCCAAGGCCAAACCTAATCATGTTCAATAAAACAGCCAGAATCTTTAAAATTGTTGCACAAAGTTGCAATTACCATGCTGATCCTAAACATGGAGTTTACGAAATAATAATAATACATTTTATTGGCTCTTGCTTTCAAGCTTCACCATGTGAGCTCAGCCCATGAAGTACAGAAGATGAATCATCCATAACATCAACTTTTCTTCTTCTTCTTTTACCTTCAGAACTGCTTTAATTCTTCATGGAACCGATTCAACAAGGTGCTGGAAAGATTCCTCAGGGAGTTTGATCCATATTGACCTGATAGGATGGCATGCCAATATGATTCAAAATCACTATATGTACATGTGGATGTGACGATTTGTCAGCTGCATATCCACAATGTGAATCTCCCAATCCACTAGAATCTCGGTGAGTCAGCTGGTCGTATTATTCTGAAATAATAAGATCAGCCCATCTGACAAAAATAACCACACCACATTCAAAGTTACTTAAATCATCTTTCTTTCCCATTCTGATCCTCAATTTAAACGTCATCGTCATCCTGGGAATGTCTACATGCATGACGAAGGGGTTGGTGACTGTATGTGTATAACAACTCATAATTATGCAGGGTATCTAAGGTTTTTGTAGTAAATGGGGGAAAAAAAGAAAATTTCAATACAACCAAGTTATTCAGTTAAATGTTATCGTGAATACAATGACATCTGAATGCTTTTAGCTTTTCTAAATTGAACAATAATGTGGGCAATGTTGTGAGGAACTGTTTATTTTGTGGTACAATCCCTAGTCACTCGAAGCTAATTCCATTAGTTTGATATCTTTTTGTTGTGGCGTGAATTGACTGGAACTCTTTGATGGACTGCAACACGATTTCAAAACAAAGTTCTGTTATTCTGGTTAGAGGTTTAACGTCAAATAAATCACCAACAAAATCCGATTTAATCACTTGTGTAAAAGACCCAAAGATGTGTTTAACCACATGTAATGTGGACCTAAATGGGGCTTCTAGATACAAAGACCACTGCAGTTTCATATTCAGTATGCAACAAACAAGTGGGATGAAAAGTTATTTTTCTCAAGTTAAGCATGGAAAGTGGGAACGAAAACAAAAGAAAATCAAAACTAATGAGCACGAGACAAATATAGTATATAGAAAAGGATTTGGAAAGCCTGCCAACATTCTGGTTATTTCCTGCCAACACCAGAGACTGTGTTGAGACACTGAGTAAATAATAGCAAACTGCCTGAGAGCGAGACAGGATGTTCTGCAGGCCAAAGGCTGTTCTCAATACAGGCACAAGCAGTGACTTGAGAGTTTACTCAAACAAAAAACAAAACACACAGTAAATAATATAATGGGCAAATAATGCAAAATTGTCCCAACAGTTTGGAAAAATGATCACAGCTCACTGGAAATTATGTCCAGGGGTGCTCTTCTCTTGAGGCAGCTGAAAGTGTTTAAAGGTTTAAAAGTTCTTCTTCTTCTTTTTGTTGTTGCTAGGCCTCTCTGTGTTTCATCTCAAAAACCACTGCTAATTCAAGACCATGCATCTGGCAGTCTGTGAATGTTTGTGTGTTTGCAGGATCGGCTGTTTCAGGCACAGCTCGCTGCTTCCAGCAACAATGGGCATCTGATTCTCCATGTGGAATCGCACCAGGTGGCCAACGCTCAGAAACACCTGATCACGGGTCCGCACCTGGTCAATAAATGGAAAATATGCTTAAAAGTTGCTTTCTCTTCTTTAAACGATATTTGAAATCCACCAGCAGAGCTGTACCTGTCCATGTGGATCAACCAGCAGTAGGTGTCGCACAGTAGCTCCCTCCATACCGCTGAGTACATACTGACCAGCGGCAGAGCTGCTCTCTCTGACCAGGAAATCTCCGCTACAGGTGAGAAGCGACTCCGCCTGCTCTCTTCCCAACCTGTGATGAAACAAACAAAATTCCACGGGAGAGAATGACCTTGGAATTAGCAGCATTTTGACGCATCACTCATAGTCAAACAGATATTGATTACCAACCTGCCGTGGAACCATCCTTCTTCCTGGATCAGCTTCTGGACCCGCGTCTCAGTGAGCAGAGAGCGTTGTTCAGTATTGATCTCAGACTGCTCTAAATCTGATGGAGATTAGATAGAGGAAGAAAACAACAGTTGAAAAGCAACAGCTTTAAACCCCAATTGAAGCACTGCTCACTTTATTTGATTTTTAATAACCAAGTTAAAGTAAAGTACAGTTTCCTCTGAATCATAGAGGCATAGAAGTCATAATTGTACTTGAGGGACACATGCATTATATGGACAAACTCGAAACTGGACTCGGATAACGCAGTTGATTTTCACCTGCAGGTGGAGCTGGAGTCTCATCTGTGATGGAGCAGTTCTCATAAAGGGAAACAGGCCGAGGGAAACAGACCTGCAATGGCACACCATGAGTCATACACACCAGACACATATTGTTGGCTGTGCACGTTTGAACGTGTGTGTGTGTTTAGGGGCAACTGCGCTGGTAACATTTTAGAGATGAGCAGTCATGACAGGAAATTATCATCTGGTAATTCTGGGAAGTGAAGAAAACTTGTGAGGTGATGTTTGGTGAGAAGTAGCTCAAGTGTTTCTCCTCTGGGATCAACCTTTGTGCTCAATAACAAGACCATAAAATGTGCTAGTGCACTGTGTGCCTGCTATCATATTTAATTATAACAACATCGTTTCTATATTTCTTCACAAAAAAACCACGTTTTGGCTGCCATTTAAAAATGACCTTGTATAAGTTACAAAGTCTCCTGGAAAAGCATTTCAGCATTTACAGCGATTACTGCAAAGTAATCAGATCCAGCTTATCTGTTGGCTAAATGCTAAAACTTTTAGCCAATGCTAAGTTTGTGAACTTAGTCCATAGATGTGATTATAGTCTACAGTACATCCTATACAATATAAGTTTAAATAATGCAGTCTCATGCATTGCAACATAATATGTTTCAAATTGTAATGTGACAAGCTATGACATAACACTATCAAAAACTAAACTGTATTCATGCTAGTCGACCACTTTAAAAATGCTGAAAAGCACCAAGAGATGTGGTTTTAAGCTTTTACAACAACAATGGGAACTTTTCTTTCTGAACAAATTGTGTTCAAGGTCCTGTCCTTATATACACAAACTCAAGTGACTGTAAATTATTAGTGCTTTGGTGTTACAGGTAAGTCTTACCCTGTGAATGTTAGCATCTTCTTTGCTCTCCTCTTCTGTGACCTGAAAGTCTTTTATTCCACCTGGGTCTCCTGGGTTCACATTGTAATAGTCACGGTGTTCACTGAATTCTCCTTCCCGGTTTGCCTTTTGGTTTATTATTAACTCTTCTGGGCACCATTTGTGACAGATTCTCAGTGCCGGTCTGAATATACACATAGTGTTGAGGTATTGGTAGAAGGAAGGAAGGACAGAAAAGACAGATACATTTTAATATCAGATAAAGATACCCTGATATGCCTTCCCTTGCTAAACCATGAATTAACCGTAATTAATGACATTTTTTTGAAACCTGGGTTCAGTTTCACTTGCCCAGGCCTGATTACCGCCAGACCTGCTGAATCAACAAATCACCTAAATAGAACCTGTCTGACAAAGTGAAACAGGCTAAAAGATCTCAAAAACAACCGATAAACAAACTAATTTACATATATCCGGGTGAGATAGTGAGAGATAGTGGTGAACCTTCCCAGGAGTGGAAGGCACACAGGCTCATCTCACATTTGCCAATTAGCATCTTGATGACCCCCAAGACTTTTGGAAAAATATTCTGTGGCCCGATGAGATAAAGCTGAACTTTGTGGAAGGTTTGTGCCCCAAACATGTCGGTGGTAGTGTAGTGGTCTGAGGCTGCGTTGCTGCTTCAGGAGGACTTGCTGAAACTGCTGGAACCATGAATTCTGCTCTCTAGCAGAAATACCTGAAGGAGAACGTTTGGACATCAATTTGTGCCCTGAAGCTTAATGACGCTTTGGTTTTTTCAACAGACCATAAAGTCCAACGCCGAATGGTTCAAAAAAATATTGATGGGTTATTCAAAGTCTGGACTTTCATTAGGCCAAAATGATCTGATTGAGATACTTAAGCATAAATCATGCTTGTTTAACATGAACAGTATGTCTGAATTAAAACAATTCTTCTAAGAAGAGTGGGCCAAAATTCCTCCACACCTCAGTTATTCTAGTTATCACGAGTGCTTGATTGCAGTTCTTGTCGCCAAGGGTGGCACAACCTGTTATTAGATTTAGAGGGCAATTACTTTTTCACAAAGGCCCAGTAGGTTCAGATAGTTTTTAGCCCTAATAAACCAAACGTATCATTTAAAAACTGCATTTTGTATTGATTATGGTTCTCTGTCTCATATTAAAATTTATTTGTTGATCTGAAGCATTTAAATGTAACAAATATGCAAACATCAGGACGGGGGCCAATACTTATGGCACTATATACAATCATACATATACACATATATTCAGCTATACTTATATGTACATATGAATTCACTCAGAGTCACTGACATAATAATAATAATAATAATAATAATAATAATAATAATAATAATGTATACTTTATTGATCCCCGTGGGGAAATTCCTCTCTGCATTTAACCCATACGCTCTGTGAAGCAGTGGGCAGCCATTGGGCGCCCGAGGAGCAGTGTGTAGGGATGGTAACTTGCTCAGGGGTACCTCAGGGTAGCTGTTCAGTGGATTTCGAACTCCCGACCTTCCGATCATGGGGCCACCACCACTATCCCTGCCCCATACAGTAAATACTGCATAATATTGTTTCTATATTTAATAGCAAATCCATAATATACTATAATATTTATGTATATATATACACACATGCATATATATACATGTAAGAGCTATAACCTGGAACTGGTGGACAGGACCGATGGTGTCTGGCTGAGAAGGTGGCGGAAGCGCGTCTCAAAGGCCTGACCGATGCTGTTGATAACCTCATTGGCTTGACCCTCGGGACACTCCAGGATGTGACAGGCTGCCATAGAGAGCAAAAGTCAAACATTATTTTCATAACAATCAGTAAATTGAAATTTGAGTGTAAGGCCAGCTCAAAGCAAACTCTCTCTCATACCTCTGTCATTGGCAAGGTCTTTAGCTACATAAGCAATGTAATCTGCCATGTCCTGTAAACAAATTGAGAGAGAAAAACACAATAAAAGGCATGATTATAAATTATAAATGCAAAAAATGACTCGATAGACTTTTTCCATGTGGAAAGCTCAATTTCAATTTATATTTTCACCCATTATTTTCAGTTAATGTTCATCCACGTGTACGCTTCGTCTGAAGAGTTCAGCCTAATACAAGAGCACAGTAAGCTGAATATGGTTCACCATAAAGCTTCTGTGTCAGACTGAATTTAATTCCCCTTTGCTATCTTTCATGTGCCCAAGCCAGCTGAGCAGAGGCTTAGAGCACACTACAAGATTAGTATGGTTAATTAATTAAAAACGGTGAGCTATAATCCCATCCACAGCTTTGCTGGTGTTGTCTTTCCCAGAGAGTAACTACCTTCTTATTTTCTCTCATCTTTAGTCAGTGTATATTTCTGCACATGATTTGTAGTGAATCTGTGTTTGAACTAAAAGGCCAACCAAAATGCAGTTTGACCTAGACAGCAGCTAATAACCACATGCCCTACAGACAGATCTGCATTGATTTTTATGTTCATTACACACATTTTTAGGGCACAGGAAATTTTCACTCAGGCCAAATAACTTGAATCCTGTCATGTGGATATATGTGCGCACAGAGGGAAACAAATTAAGAAGAATAGACCTGAGTAATTAGTCTGATAAGCGCTTGGCAAGGTGTAAAGATGATGAAGGCAGTTAGCTCTGATGAGTGCATAAGTCACAGCAAAGGATTTCATGATTTGTCGCCTTTAGCAATTAATTAGCACAAGAATTACATTCAAGAGTTTTACAATGAGCCAAATTAAGGGTAAAACCGTAAACAGACACATTTATTAAATGACTCAGACTTGAAAGAGTAATCCTTAAGAGAAAACTCACAAGCAGTCACATGATTAATCACTGCTACAGTTCTAGCAGAAATAACCCATCAAATAAAATCTTTTCTTTATATTTGCCAGCTCTTTTATATAGTACCAACAAGCTTTAAACACTTAAGGAGGTGGTTGTCAAACTTTTCTGGAAGGCTTCGCTTCTGAAACAGGCAAAACATTCACGTGACACACTCCCAAGAATGAAGAATCCAAATTAAATTGAACAAAATAAAGGTCAGTATACCCCCAGCACACTCTGAATGCTGGGGATAATATACTGTTGAATATCAGAGGTTCTTTGCATAAATCATATTCATTAAAATTAATCACAAGGGAATGTTTAGACATTTTTGCCAAAGTCTGAAGTTTCATTTGTAGCATGCTTTCAGATGCTGACCTTGTACCACTAATTAAAAGAGCAGAATGATCAAGAGTTGAGGCAGGAAATGATTTAATCCTCGATAAATGGTAGTACACCAATGCAATAATCAGACTAAATCAAATTACTCACTGTGTGTGTGATTGTGCTCTTGCTACCCTGTTTGTGTCCCTATCTGATCATCAACGTGTACAAGGGGAAAGATTTGAGAATATGAACATACTGAATCTCCACCGGAGGCAAATGAAATGGTCTGCATGGGGTGGTGGGCAATCTTCTGTGAAAGAGAAAAGAGGAAATGATACAATAGCAGATAGGTTTGCCAGTAAACCTGACATGAGGCTGTTTTGATGGGGTTTAACATGCTGACACTGTCACCTGTAAGGACGAGGCAGCGATTAGAGTCATACTGTCGGTGGAGACAGTGAGGATGATCCTTCTTCCAGAAAACTGCAGGTTTGTCTGACCCAGAACAGAAGACAGTCCCTTGCAAACAGGCTAATGATGACAAAAACCACTGTTATTCCAGCTGAACGTGGCAGAAAGAGAGAGTGTGTGAGTATGAGTGTGTGCCTGTCTGTGTACACAAGCCTTACCCTTTTAGTTTTCACTGCTGTTTTGAGCAATGTCCTCGCACAAAGTCTGCTGATTGCCTCTCTGCACACAAACACATAGACACAGATCAGCATGTACATAAGCACATGCACACAGTAACACAGAGATACCTTTGTATGTGATCTGGTGTGCCCTGCGGACATGTGATGTGCATGTGAGAGGAAGAAAACTACACTACAGAAAGCACATATACATGCACTGCTGGAAGAATGTAACCAAATATACTTACTCAAATGCAATACTTTATTACTTTAGTTTTGGAGTACATTTAGTACACACAACCAAAAAAAACCCCCAACATATTACACAAAAGGTATCCTTTTATCTGCATGTCGCTGTGAGTATTTGATTCAAAAGCCAAACATGACTTAGTACTTGGTGGAGAAACCCTTGTTGGCATGCACACTGATAAGACATTTCGTGTAGTTGGTCACTAAGTTTGCACACATGCTCAGCATTTCTCTTCCCCCAATCTCAGCACTTTCTCCCAGTCCTTCTCTGAATCATCTAAATGTTCACTTAATACGAGCCTGTTCATGTGCCTTGTTAAGCATGTGCTGCAAGACTTCAATCCACTGCATATCGCAGTGTGTTCCTAACAGTGTTCTTGGTGACTGCGGTCCCAAGTGTCTTAGGATTATTAACAAGCTCCTCCAGTGTAGTTTTGAGCTGATTCGCCATCTTTCTCAGGATCATCCTCACCCTGTGAGGTAAGATCTTGCATGGAGCTGCAGACCAGAGGCAACTGACGGTCATTTTAAACTTCTTCCATTTCTGAATAATCGCAGCAAGAGTTGTCACCTTCACACTGAGCTTCTTGCTGATGGTCTTGTACCCCATTCCATCTTTGTGCTGGTCTAAAATCTTGTCCCTGATGTCCATTGACAGGTATTTGGTCTCGTCCGTAACAAGATGAGATCAGGAGTATCCGTAATTGATTGTAATCTGTGTGTTACATGTGCACACAGCTAATCGTAGGAGCAAGAATTCTGGCTGGGTGATTAAATACTTATTTCACTCAATTACATGCAAGTCAATTAATAACTTTTTCTGAATTTTTGGTTAATATTCTGTGGTAAACATGTACTTCAACAAAAGACAGGAACATAGGGTAATGTATATAAGTGGAAGAAGATGAATACAGGTGGACTACATCTTATGCAAAAGCTGCAACCTGAAAGAGATAGGAGACTGCAGGGTGGTGGCAGGAGAGAATGTGCCAGGCAGCATTGGTTAGTAGTCTGAATGATTACTTTGGAAATCAAGAAAAAGCGTTTGTGAAGACAGAGCCAAGGATTAAATGAGAAAGAAAGAAAGAAGAATGTTGAAAGAGTTGGTCGGTTGAGAAGAGGTACCAGATGACAGGAAATGGAACAGCTGTAGTACTTAGGGAAAGTCCAAAAAAGGTCTTTGGTGTATTCTCTGGATGGAGGATAGAGGACGAGGAGACCTGGTGGTGGAATGAGGAAGTACAGGAAAATATTCCAAGGAATAGATTAGCAAAGAAAAAGTGGGATATCGGGGAAATAAGAAAGTGGACAGCAGCACTGGGAGGAAAGAGAGAAGTAAAAAAAGGCAAAGGAAAAGGCTTATACTGAGTTGTATGCAAGATTCAAAAACTTGTATAAATTGGCAGAGGCAGAGAGATGGAGCTGGAAAGGATGTGCAGCAGGTTAGACAGCGAGACAGTGGTCAGGTGTGCAGCTGGAGGGAAAAACGGGTTCAAGGTTGGGATGGGATTACATCAGGGATCAGCTCTGAGACCTGAGGTTGCAGTGATGACGCACAGGTTGACAGATGAGGTCAGGCAGGAGTCTCTGTGGACTACACTGTTTCCAGACAACATTGTGATGTGTACTGAGAGTAGAGGGCAGGTATAGCGGATATACTGGATATTGAAGATAGAGCTGCAGGCAGGAGGAAAAGAGGAAGACTGCAGAGAAGTTTCAGGGATGTAGTGAAGGAGGACATGCAGATTGGTATGACAAAGGAGGATGGAGGGTGAGATGGAGGCAGGTGATCTGCGCTCCATCTTAAATGAGCTTTGGCTTAAAGAAGGTACAGTAGCGGCCTTTATGGATCTTTTTTTTTTTTAACTGCTTTTGTTTGTTTCTTAGTTTGTTTTTAATTGTATGGCATATTTTCAATTTGCATTTGTGGACCAGGACACAAACTGTCTACACTAGCAGTGAGTTTCAGCTGCCCACACATGGATTTCCACTATAAAATCTGTGTATTGTCTATTTTTAATGCAGTGCTGCCTGAGGTCTTGAAGATCACACCCTTTCAATATTGGTTTTTGGCCTTGTCCTTCGCCAATGTCTCTCTGGATTCTTGGAATCTTTTAATGATATGATGAAATCTTCCAATTCTTTGCAATTTTGCATTTAGAAACATTATTAAATTGTTGTGCTGCTTGCCATTGCCCACGTGGTCTTTTACAGTGTTACGAAATCCTCCTCATCTTTATTTTTAAGAAGTCTAACTAGTTGCAAGATGTTGTTTTTGTTAATTTGCTTTTAGCTTTTTACAAATTCAGTTTTCTTGTAACTTATAAATCCTTCTTTTAAGGATAACTTGCAATAATCACTGTAGTGAAGAAAAAATTACAGAAGAACAACAAAAAAAAAAACATAACTAGAATAGCTGATCACAAACTTCCATCTGCAGTGTTAAAGCAGTAACACTTCAAAATATTCCTGGTATGTTTCTTTTTTTAAATCAAGTCAATCTGAGCTGAGATTGTATCTCTGACGCTTGGGTCAGCGAGGGCAAAGCAAAAAAACACCCCCACGCGCACGAATGGAACATCCCACTACCTAGGAAGCAATGCTGATTTCCAGGAAGACCGTTTTTCTTCTTGAAAACACATTGTAAGAATTGGATTGAGGTTTGTCTCCCTCTCTCTCTTTTAATAAGACTGAGGGATCATTAGGAGGAAATTCATCTAATTGGATTTTCTGCTCCATCATTCAACAGCGCTTCTGTAAACAGAGAGGGCTGTGTTATGGCATCCTGCACTAGGATTTCAATATCAAATGATGAGGAGAAAGCCCCGTTTATGAAATATTATACATTTAATTTGATTTCCCTCTTTGAAACATTTTTGAAATAAGCTACACATGGTTAGCTGGGAAAATAAAAGTTAAATGAGTTCAGGATAAAGCAATTTTGCTCACTTTTTTTCCTCATCTGTGTGCAAGCGAAACAGCACCTAATCCATATATGGCATTCCCCTGCAGTCAGGATTATGTTGCATGTATTATACGTTCATGTATTATATCATTAGATGTATATATTCGTATTTGTGTTTGTTTGTGTTTGTTAGAAAGGGGTGCAGAGAGGACCTCCTACCGTGTAACTTGCATTCTTGTATCAAAGTCAAGGGTTCTCATGGACTGGGTCACTTCCACACTACCCATGTACTAGAAAAACACACAGAAAAAAAACAATGGAAAAATATATTATAATAATAATACTAGTAATAAAAGTCTCAGGAACATCCAACAGAGTCCTGAGGACTCTGAGGTGCGCACTTTCAACAACAATTAAAATATATTAAAGAAACACAACACTCTTACAGGAGTCTGGTCACTTTTCATGAATTTTCTGTTATTGCATCCTCACTTTTAGTTTTTATGATGGAAGAAAATGATTCTGCAGAAAAGGTGAAAAGTTCATGAGCTGATTTGCGGCAGACAACATAGATTTACACATAGCTGTAACGAGTCAAGAGGAATGGAAATAACTGGGCCTTCGAGAAGGTTCCAGAAAGCTGATAGAGAGAGAAAGTGGTTTTATGCATTGTGTTTAAGTCATTTAAGTTCCATCCATGTGCGTTCTTAGAGTTTTGTGGCTGGGAATGGGAATTTTGTTTTAAAAAAAAAGTGTAATAGAACACGTGAGACGGGATGGAAATGCTAGTTTGAAAACAATCAATAAATTAGATACGCAGAGCAGAAATTTAAAGTTCATATCCAAATTATGTCATTGTTTTCCTGAAATCAGTTTAACTTCTTAAGGAATGTATTCTGAAACACACTGGAGTTGTTGTTTTTGTTTGTCTGTTGGTTATATATAACCATGCTATTAAAATAAAGGTATTTTAGTTATTCAGAAGAAAGTACCCCAGGGTTCTTTAAGTGATGCTTAAAGAGATTTCACAGGACACTGAAAAACTAACTCCACCTTAACTGCTTCCACTGGCATTAAGAAGGTAAGCAGGTGGTGCTAATCAAATGCGCTTAATTAAATGATCATCTGGAAGTGTGACCACCACTAAAAAACCAGACATTTTGGTAGTTTGCTGGTCTGGAGTATTCAGCTATGTTAACACTATGTCACTCCAGGGAGTGGATGTCCCAGCAAACCTAAGAGCTACATCTCAGGTTCTACAGATCTCAGTTAGGATGTGAAACGTTAAAGTTCATGACAGTACAATTAGAAAAGGACTGAACAAGTTTGTTCTGAGTGATTGCCAAGAGAAAGCCTCTTCTCTCTAAAAATAAAATGGCAGCGTGGCTTAGGTTTGCAAAGTTCCATCTGCAAAAACCGCAAGACATTAGGGACAATGGCCAGACAAGTCCAAAGCAGAAATGTGTGGCCATGATGCACAACGACTGTCAAAAATCAAACACAGCATATCAGCAAACACAGCTCATACCTACTGTCAAGCACAGCTGTGGAGGGGTGAAGATTTGGGTTTGTTTTGCAGCCAAAGTACCGGAACACCTTGCAGTCACTGAGTCAACCATAAACTCCTCTGTATAGCAACATATTTAGGAGTCAAATATGAGGCCATCTGTGCAACAGCTAAAGTTTGGACAAAATTGGGTGAAGTAACAGAACAATGATCTCAAGGACAGCAGCAAATCTACAACAGAATTGCTGAAAAAGAAAAGACTAAAAGTGCTGCAACAACCAAAAGTCCAGAATGCAACACAACAGAAAATGCTGTATTGGAAACTTAAGAGAGCTGTGCATGAACGAATGCCAACAAACCTCAATGAACTGAAGCAACCTTACAAAGAAGAGTGGGTCAAAATCCTTCCACAACAAAGACTGATAAAATCATACAAAACAAAACAAAACAAGAAGACCTCTGAAAGCATAAACCTCTGCTAAGGCAGCTCACTCTCTGTGCAGTATTTACTTTAAAGGGAATGTTGTACTCTGTGTATATTTATATTTGTTCTTAGTTTAAGAAGTTTGTAGTTTCTTCCATTTTAAAGGGAATCTTTCTTCCTGTACATGCTCGTTGTTGGAGTTTTCTCTGTATTATTGTAGGGTCTTTACCTTACAAATAACATTATAAATAACATTTAAAAATTAAAACTGAATGACAGGCACACAGTCCTTGGCGGAGGTAGTGATTTGCTACTTTGAGTTATTACTGCCCAAAACTAACCTTTAAAATCTTTGTAGCAAATTCTGATTGGAATACCCAAGAAATAAGTAAGTCTCAAGCTTACAAAAGCAAAAGCAAGATGGCAGTTTTAAGCAAAGCAAGTGAGCAGAAAGTAAAAGCTGTGACTACATTTTAATGTGCGACCTGTCAGCAGATTCTAACCATGCGACAAGTAGCCAGTACAATCTTTACAGTCTTACTTTAGCTTATTAGAATGCCAGACAACTCAGAGTTGAGGTAAATGTTGACATGTGTCTGACTGTAACTGAATTTATCAGACTATATAGATGTGAGGAAGACAGAGAAGCAACCAGGCAATATTCAGGCCATGTGCTCAAATACACTATGACGAGTCCCACTTCTACTGGGCAGGAAATTCAGTATCGCAGACCTCATAGGCTGGAGGCAGGATGAGTAAGTCCATTGATAAAAACCAGACTTAAATCAATATATGTATACATGGGTGGGTTGAGCGGGCAGAAGAAACATATGTGTGTGCTTGTTTATAGAGGTCAATCAGACAGTCCATTCTCATTTCCACCAGTGGTCAGCTCACAGGCCTGTGTAGACACACCTCTGCCATCGGGACAAGATGGGTTCTGTTCTAGGACAGCATGCTGATACTAGATATATTCACACACATGCATTCACACACATAGCAGGACTGAACTAGAGGGAAGCAGAGAGCTAGGATGAGTCACTACTGCCTACATAGGAGGCTCTAACTGAGGAGGGGAGTGACTGTGAGTGTGACGGTGTGGATAGAGCAGAGAGTGTATGCATATGTGTATTTTCCATGTTCACGTGTGTGTATTTATTTTGGCCGTGGCACTAAGTAAACAGTAATTTAACACTGCTGAAATCTGGCATATCTTTAGGTCATGACGACTTGCATAGTACAGAGAAAAGGAGCTTGCACAGCATTTTGGTAATTTCTACACACAAAGAATTTTACACACATTAACAAAATTAAGAATATGAATTACTTGGGCAAGTAAAATGTTGGTTTACTCTATCTGATCATGCACATGTGCAGGGTCAGGTACCTTGATGTGATGGTGAACTGCTCTGCTTCCTGTCCCCACCACTGTACGATCACCTTTTGCAGAGGAAATCTTCACACAGCACAGACCACCTCTGTGATGTGAGCAGGGAGGATATCCAGGGGTCCAAGGAAGGCTTGCCATCCGTTGTAGGGTGATAGGTCTTTTTGTGCAGAGCAAAGCAGGGTGAATTAGATTTTGGCCCGTGGATAGGGGAGCGTTGAGGGAAGCGTGAGTGCAAAATCTCTCATTACTTCCTGAACCCCACTCTGTTCTGGACAAGGGTTTGTCAGTAGGGGCACTGATGCTTCTGCCTCTGGCTGTGTCTGTCTGTCCTTTTAGGCCTTGCCGGGAAATAGGGCTTTGCAGTCGGATGTTGGCCATGCGGGGGATGAAATCCCTCAGGGTGGATGGTCCGTGGTGTGTAGAAATCCCAAGTCCCAGCTGACTGAATTCAGAGTCTAAGCAGAGGTCCTGCTTCAGGGGCAACATTCCCTGGGGGTTCTCCTCCAGAGATGTTGGAGAATCGTTGCGCAGTCGACTGTATTTAGTACGCTTCAGCATACCTGTAGAAGATGAAAAAGAAAGTGTCAGAATCAAATCAGCCGCACTGTGATTTTCATTGTACTGATTAAGCGACCTGCCTGGTAGGAGTCCCGTCTGTGATTTCAACCTGGATAAGGTTTGCTCTCTCATAATCAGGAAACAGAGCAAAGGAGAACGCTGAAATAAATGTAAAAAAAAAAAGGAAACTTGAAAATTCAGGTCACCATTAAGGAATTTTAACTAAAGATTTTGGTAAAAGGAGATGAAGAAATAACATCAGGTTTCAGGAGCGTCTGAAAACTATCTTTGTGTCGGGTGCGCTCTGTCGTCAGATCATTTAAAGGGAATCCTGCTGTGCAGATTCAACTCACCACTGTAGGACTCTGGGATGTCCTGTTAAGTCTAGAGTCCAGTCTGCTCCACTCTAGTCATGCAGAGTACAGCCCCATCCTACTGACCCACACACTTTCTCAGTCAGTTGCCAGGCTCCCAGCTTCACCTTCACATCAACTTTCCTCCCCTCTGTCTTTTCTTTCTGAGGCGCAGCAGGATTGTGCAGCGTGTATGAATGAACTTTCTCTTTTTTTATGAATGAGATCTCGCTCACTTCCCCTGTCTCTCTCATGACGCTGCATGCAGATGAATGTGTGAATGGAGCAGAGGAGAGATTGACAGACGGCCCCCAAAGGCTCTCTTTCTCCTCCCTCACCCATAAACTACCATCCAATCACAGGCAGGCAGGGTGACTCATGCTGTGCACATACACACACACACACACTCACACTCAGTATTACACTGAAGCAGTGCTCCATTCCTTTCTTCTAACATGACTTCCACCTTAGAGATGTTTTAAATAAATTATCATTAATTTGGCTTACTTTGGAAAATAACATTTTATCACTGGTACCATGACTGACATGATTTACACAATAAAATGTACCCCATAGTGACTGTATTGTTCAAATTAACACACAGGAGGAAGAGGATTTAACTGAAGCATTTGCATTTCCCTTTGATCCCGATCAGAACAATATTCCAGGCGCCATTTAAACAGTGTTTTACATACTGGTGTTATTCCTGATTGAAAGATTGTCTTTCAGATTGCAGCGGTGCAGCCATACTCTCAAATTCCACAGTAAAAGCATTTTAAACCATGGAGCTTTACCTTTTTCCATAAAATAATAATTACACACCACTAGCTATTGTCAAAGAGTATGCAATATTGAAATCTGAGTGATGTCTACGGCAGAGTTTTGTCCCTTCCTAGTGGCCGTTTATTAAAACTACAATCTATATGATGTTGCTACCACTTTTTTCAGTAATCAGCTGGTCTGTTAACTATAAACTCGGAGCTGCTTTGTTTGGTAGCTCTGTTCAACTGCACATTTACGGCAACCACCACGCTGCAGCAAATCAGTGTAGCTCTAGGGTTTGGAGAGAATGATCTTAAAAAGAGAAAATCAGAATCAGAATACTTTGTTTTCTAGGGGAAATACCCAGCGAACGGCAGTTCAGTGGGAGAAAATACTTATGTCAGAGGAGAATGGCCAGACTGCTTTGGGCTGAGAAAAATTCAAATTACTACTCATTACAACCAAGGTAAGCAGAAGAGCATCTCTGAATGCACAACATATTGAATCCTGAAGCAGCAGCAGCAGCTAACATGTCCATCCCTTTACGACCACAAGAGCAAAATCAGTTTTATTATGAAACTCATAGCGGATTAATTCTGTTGTTCCTTTTCAGCTCTTGTGCAGTGTTTTTTGATTCATTTGGCATTCATTTGAACTTTTAACTAATCTAATTTCTAGACTTTTTCATCTTTTATTGGTTTAAAACTTAGTGTTTGGTTCTTTTAACCTTGTTATTGTGATCATTTTTCTTTCTTTGTGGGGATCTTCAGGCTGCATGTGTTTATGAAAGAACACACATTTGGCTCTTTATAAATGAACCCAAATTAGGTTAACAAAGGAGAGAAGATGAGGCACCAGTCAGAAGATTTTCTTAAACAACATTTTAATGATGTTAATCATCAGTCCATAGGTTAAGAGTGACAACAGGGTAATGAGAAACAGCCTCTAACAATGCTGTTAATGATGTACAGTCTTAAGGAGACCATCTTAAATATCCATGTAAAGATGAGAAACACGCTGAAAAAAGTACTTCATTGAACCATTTTTTTTTCTTTGTTCACATTAGTTACAAGACCTTTACCAGTACTGTATTTACATAGTGCAAAAAACACATTTGCTGTCAAATAACATACTTTAAACACTTTGATGGAAGTCATACCAAAAAAATGCCTACACAGCGTACCTTGAATCAAACTAGAAATACTTTCAAAATCCCAAGTATGATATTCAGTACACCGTCGCGTCCCATCTCCACATTGCATACAGCCTGACGTACTGCATCACTGTCGACGGGCCAACACCTCTCCATGATTCACGATCGAATACTTTTATCTAATTGGATTCCAACTATTACAATGTTTAACCCACCAAATGGCTTGAAGAACAGGATGATTGTATTTTTTAATACAATGCAAAATCAAAATCTCCTTTGTACAATTATATTTACAAAGGCATGTGCATGACTTGGTGATGACTTATTTAACTAGCGGTAGTGAAGCACTGAGGATTTTAGTTTTAATCAAATGTTGTTTGAGGGGGGGGGGGGGGGGGGGGGGGGGCAAAGACAAATTTCTTTAGTTCACACGTTTGTCTTCCAGCATCCAGTTTCCCAATTATTTCATGAAGCTGTAAACTACACACACAGGCTCAGTGCTTTACTATTGAGAAAGTAACAACCAAGTTGTGTCTCATAATTTACTAGGGAAAATGTACTTTCGGGATTGATTAAAGATCTCAGTGTTGATGATAATGATGCTGGGAACCTTGGTAAGAGACGGCTTGAGAGCCCCGCCATCAGAGAACACGAGTGAGTGGAAAAAAAACAGGAGCATTTTTCTTTGTTTTGTTTTTTTTATGAAGCATGGACAGCATCTAGGAACTAGGACTCCATTCAGAGGAAAACAAACCCCAAATAATTTGACAATAGGCAAGATCAATATGACAAAACATTACATATTGTAGTAGAACCACCTAGACAAGGTTATATTCACAAAGCTTGATTTGCTTCTTAGAAGTTAAGTAATTTAAATCATCTGAATACAGAATGAGACACTTATTTATTTAAACATTAAAAAACACAGACAACTGATGCGCGGGAGAGGTTTTGGTACAAAGACAGAACCCCTGACACTGTAATATTCGGTGATGAAAGCTAATTGCCAACTAAGCAGTTATAAAGAAATGCCCTCTCTCTTTCTTTTCCTCCTGGAGCAGCGAGGTGAAATTAAACACACAAACACACACATTATTTACATAGCTAAAGCCAAAGGACAGAGCAAAATAAATGCAAACTGTGCCTCCAAAGCGCACACGCAAACACACAAATACTTGCAGAGCTGAAAACCCTCCGAGCTCTGAATAAAGTTAAGATGTGAGTTGAAAGGTTCCAACCTTCCTCCTCTGTGAGCTGCAGACACCAGCTCAACGTCACTGAGCGCTCATCGCTCGCTCCCACAAATGTTCCTGACTCTGAAAGAGTTCAGCTGTGGAGGAGGGAACGCTCCACCCTATATTCAAGTGTTGCAGGTTATGGGGCCAAAAAAAAAAAAAATGAAAAGAAAAATAAAGAGGGCATCCTTTTAAAATCATCAGATGAGTTTTGGTGTGAATCTATAACCCTCAGACTTTGTTAGCTGTTTGGTCTGTGACTCTGTGTGGTTTTACGTTGGTCAGTTTCTCTGTAATGTGTGAGTGTGAGTGTGTGTGTGTGTGTGTGTGAGTGTGAGTGTGTGTGTGTGTGTGTGTGAGTGAGTGAGTGAGAGAGCATTGGTCAGCTGGGTGGATACCTGAGATTATGACTTGTGTCAGGGGCTAGACACAAAGGAGGAGGGCTGCTGGTTGCTGTGAAGAGGGATGTGTGAGAAGGAGGGAATGTACGTGTGTAAGTGATTTCAACCAGTGGGCTTTTTAGCCTCCGCTTGTTCTTTGCCTTCCATCTTTGTCTTTGTGATCTCTGCTGAATCAAGGTCCTCATCATCCTCACTCTGTACCCTCTCTTCTCCATCCTCTTCCTCCTCCTCTTCAGTACTTTCTTGGCTCTTTCCCAGCTGGAGGTTTTCCAGGGTCTTGGACACCCAGGATTCAATGCGGCTGCTCAGAGTGGGCACTTCTACAGAAATGGGTTCAGGAGTGTAGTCCTCCTCCTCATCCTCCTCTTCCTCAGCCTCCTCCAACATCCCAGGAACCAGGGTGGAAGTGGTGGAAGTGATGGATGAGTTCAGCGGCCCCCTGCAGCTTCCATCCAACGAGCCTGTCTCTGTGCTCTGCTGAGAGGCCAGCTCCAGCCTGTCGTCAGCTCGGACCTCATCTCTCTCTGGAGCCGGAGCCCTGGGCTGGGGAACGGTAGCGCCAAGAGGGGCGGTGTTGTTGGTAACTGGCGGGGCCTGACTGTCTCTCTGGGTGCCTGTTAAGGGTGAAGGGCGACTCAGCTCGCTGTCTACAGGCTCTGGGGCATCAGAAGTCTCCATCATGCTCCTCCAATTGGTCTCTGAAGGAAAAATACAACCACACGGTCCATTTTCTCAGATCACCAACATTACAGGTGAGGAAAGTAACTCAATAAACTACACACTACACAATAGCTTAAAAACATTACACCAGTGGTCCCCAACCTTTCACATGTTTGAGTTGTTAATACTTCCAAATAGAACTATCTGAATTTTATTCAGGAAAAAAAGTCTAAATTAATGAAAAGTCGAAGAAAACAACCATATTTCTCTAAACCTTAGTGTTGCCTACCTTGTTTCCCCATTAATTATCTCACCATCCCCAGGATTTATCCACAGAAAATTCTGTTCGACCTTTAAACCTAGGTTTGTAACAACTAATATACTGTACATTTAGATAAACAGAACTCTACTCCAACCAGCTACTACTGCCAAAGAGGTTCTTTGATAACACTGATAACATAAAACAAATAGTAAAGAAACAGAAACAGGGCTTACCATATTCCTTTTCATTAACCTCTGAGATGGGCTCAGAGAAGATGGAGCAAAAGGAGATGGCTGAAGCAGCAGAGTGGTTGCGGGAATGCCCCATGTGATGAGGGACCTTCTTGTCATTCTTCAGAGCCTCCTCAGCCTGCTCCTGCTCCAGAGCGGACACCATGTCCTTGTAGGCCTTCCTAGCCTCTTCGGTTAAAGAAACTAAATGGTTGAAGAGTCCCTGAGAAAGGCATTTAAAAACAACAACAAACAAACAAACAAACAAAAAGATACAGAGAGCTCATCATCATCACCAACTTGGGCAGATTATGTGGATAAAGGTTTAAAATGACATGAGTGTCCTACCTCAGCTCCAGAATAGTTGAAAATGCCCACAACACTAACGGGCACCAGCTTGTTGACACAGCGTCCGAGAGCTTTTCTGCCCAAGGCGAACACAAACGGGATCTCCTGCTCCCTGGCCATCGCAATTACATTGTATAAAGCTTCATCCAAACCACCTGCAGCACAGAAAAACAATCAGTGACTCA